ACTCTCCCTCTCCCTCCCTTCCTCCCTCTCTCCCTCATCTCAGGCTGCCTCACCCACCAGCTGCATTCCCACATCTGTCTCAGGACAGGCAGACCTCGAGACACACAGGCAGATCTTCGAGGCACTGCAGGAATGTCACAGACTCAGTCAGGGCTGGGTAATAGGAGAAGGGTGAAAGCAGAGACGTGTGTTCTGTGTATTCTGTCACAGGCTGAGCTCACCTGACTGACCAAGGCGGAGAACAGCAATCACTCTCCCTCCCCCAGGCTTACTCGCCCTCCGCGAAAGACTCACAACACCAAGCTGTACCCACTTATTTTCATAGTATCCATCACCGCAGGTTCCATGCTCCTTCATTTATAAAAATCTTTCTTGATTACAAGGTAACTGGTCAGAAGAGACAAGACCAGGCTAGGGCACTTGCCTTGCCTGTGGCCCACCCTAACCCTCCTCCCCCCTGAACTACACTGGGTGTGGCCCCCAAATCAAATATAAGAATACAATGTCACTGGTGTGGACTGGGGGAAGGAGTCGATTCACAGGCCCTAAAACGCTGCCTGTCCCCTGGAAGGGCCTCAACATATGTGTTGACCAAGTGTTACAAATTGTCCCGGAACCAAACTGGCCGCGAGCAGACAAATGCCTCTTCTGTTTGCGAACAGGAACACAAAGGCAGGGCCCTGGCCGTCACAGGCCCCCGCCCCTCTATACCTCAGCTCTGACCTGTCATCAGCCCTTTTACCACCAAGTTTACGGATCCCCTTGGGGGAGAGGAGAGAAAGGAGGGGCCAGAGCAACAGGCCAGCGGGTAGGGAGCCTGCCTGCATACAGCAGACTCAGGTTGGATCCCCAGCATTCCATGGTCCCTCAAGTCCACCAGGAACCATCCCTGAGCAGATCTGGGAGTAAGCCCTGAACACCAGAGGGTGTGGCCAAAACAAACAACCTTCAGAAAAGAGAAAGGTAAGCTCTGCTGATTTCCTCAAGTTTCACCTTCCGTCCAAACTGGGGAGGGCATAAGGTACTAAGGGAATCTGGAGCTGGCTTGAAAGTGAGGTGGACACTGTTACACAGAGGCTGCCACACTCGTCCCCAGTGGAAATTCCTGGCCACGGACAACAAGAAACATGAGCCAGGTAACTATTAACAGCACTGCCCAAGGCAAGGCAGGAAGTTCCCGGCAGCAGGAGCTACACCTGACTGACTCTCCCCAAAGGAATTTTCAAAGTTCTAATTTGAAGAGAAATCATATTATTACCTGCTCTTGTATTGATAAACATTATGGAGGGGAGGGGGGGCTTTCATATACCAGGACTTATTACCTGAAGAAGAGACAAAAGGGGCTTTCCTCCCCTAGTAACAACGACCCACCCCCTGCTGTTGAATTCCAAAGAGCTGAGCTTTGAGGCCGGAGGGACAGTACAGTACGGTGCGGTGCGGAGGGCACTTGCTTTGCACAGGGCTGACCCGGGTTTGATCACCAGAATCCCATATGGTCCCCCCAGGCTGGCCAGGACTGATTCCTGAGTGCAGTCAAGAGTAAACCCTGAGCACTGACAGGTGTGGCCCCAAAACAAAAGCAAAAAACCCAAGAAGCTAGATTTTAGTTACCTCCTCTCATTAAAGGGAACCTATTACTTTGTGTCTTTTTTTCTTTTTGCAGTGACATGGTTCAACCCTGGGTCCCATGCTGACAAAGCTCTGCCACCGAGCCACATCACCAGTGTTTTTAAATATTTAAGTCACAACTGCAAGCAGAGAGACAAAGCCCAAAAGGAGGGGAGGTGGTCTCCATCTGGTCTGAAGGAGAACTCAGCACCAGCCCGGGGGTAGCAGGGAAGGGGCTCTGGGACACTAGATCTTCAAATCCTTCAGAAAGAACCAAGAAACAAACAAACAAAAAACTCCCAGTCCCAGAAACTGTCCAGTGCCAGAAAGCCAGCCCGAGGCCTTCAGGGCCCTCCACCGCGACTAGACCTGAGGGCTGAACAGCCACCTTCCTCTGCAGGTCAGTGCTGCGGCTCACCAGGCGCCCAAGTGCGCAGTACCCCTCTGAGCCCCACTCCGTCTAGAGACTCCGTGACTTCCCTCACGGACTCAGCAAAACAGTATCAGGTTTGTCTCTATCTCTTCTCCACTCCTAAGCCTCACACTCTTGACCCAGCAGAAAAAAATCTCTGCTTTCCTCATTTTCTTCTCAAAACTCTCCTTCCTTGTCTACAGTACCCTGTCCTCCTCACTCTTTTTGTTTTGAGGCCACATCCAGAAGTGCTCAGGCTCCTGGCTCTGAAATCAGGGATCATTCCTGGTGATGCTTGGAAGACTATCTGGGGTGCGAGGGATCAGACCTGGGTCAGCCACTATAAAGCCACGCTCCCTCCACACTGTACACTCCAAGTCTCCCTGTCGTTCTTACCCCCTTCCAAGTGGGTAAGTCTGGGTCCCAGTGCTATTTCTAGAATATTCTCTCAAATCCCCTAGGGCTCCCTACCTTGTGCCTCCTTAGCTGATCCAGGTCACTACTCCTCTCCTCATTTCTTCATGATTTTAGCTCTCTAGCCCTTCGACCTCCACTGCCTCCTTACAATTTCCATACCAAGGCTGATGATTTTCAACCATCCCAGCCAGACCTCTAGGTCTACCGGGGTGGGGGTGGGTGCAGGGCACCGGATATTCTCTTCCCCCCAGCCTAGACCTCGCCTCGTACCTGCAGCCTCCTCAGAACCTCAGTTCCTCAGTTCACTCACTGTCCAGCACAGCTTTTCTACTTGACACTCTGCAAAACCTCAACTCCAATAAACAACCCACAGGCCAGACCTCCTCTCCACCATCCCCTGGCCGCCTCATGTATTCATACAGATCTATTCCAAACCTTTATAATCGTGCCCTGACACAGACCCTCTGCACCCTTCCTTGTGGCCTTGCACATGGCTGGAGAAACATTTCATCAGCCAAAAACCCTGCTGCCTAAGAAAAATCAATCAGGAGAGACAGGAAAAGGGGGGGAAAAAATCCAAATTCCCTCCTGCCTGAAATTAAGCTGTTGAGAGCTTTCAAGCAAACAGAGCTTCAGATAATGAGGGCATTAGTTCACCCAGGAGTACTTCTGAAAGGTCACCAGGTCTAGTCAGCGCGGCAGCCACTGGGAATGGAGACCAAGGGCCTCTGCAGCCAGACCTGGGCCACCCACTGCTCCTGAGCAGCCCTAACTCCCATGCCACACCAGCTGGTCTCAAGGACGAAGAAACAGAGCAAGAAGCGCAGGAGAGCAGAGGTCAGCCCTAGACTCGGTCTGGCAAGTCCCAGGCCTGGGAAAATGATGTATGGCCTCCTAATTGCTTCCCTTAAAAAAAAAAATCAAGAATGCCAACAAATTCCAGTTGATCCTGCAAGAAGGAATTGACGCCTGCTTTCTGGTCTCCAGCTGGGGGGCCCTGTGCAGCCCTTTACCTTCTTTTTCCCTCTTCCGGGGGAACAGGGAAATCAGGTCTCAGTCACCGGAACATACATCCTGTTTGCTCTCTTCCCCTAATCCGATGGCCTCTCAGTCCAACACCTGGCCCCAGCCTTCTTCTCTGAGCTCCCTCAGTCCTGCCCCAGCCCTGCCCGCTCTTCCAAAGCTCCCCCACCACAAAGACCCTGGCACTCCACTACGGCCGGATCCTGAGCCCTGGGTTTGGCCCCTCAATCTCAGCATCAGAGTTCAGGTGTGCCCTGTTGGTATTCTCAGCACTGCTCATTTACTTCCTAGTACTTTCACGCTGTGCTCAGTGCTCAGCACTGCTCATTTACTTCCTAGTACTTTCACGCTGTGCTCAGTGCTTCTCCTCCAAAATTTTTTTTCCCCCTTTTGGTGTCTCCCACTAGAACAGAAGCTCCGTGGGTGCAGGAACCTGGCTCGTCTGCATCAGTCACCACCAGCGCTGGCAACATCCCTGCCGTCGCCTGAGAGGCTCCAAACGTTTGGCTTCACCCAGAAATTCTTCTTTCAAGAAAGTGTGGCTGAAGCAGTGAAGGTCCTAGTAACACCTGGTCCGAAAGACCTCTTGGGCCAGATAGTCAACCTGGGTTTGACACCCTCCCTCACTCCCGCCCCCAACACTGCATATGCTCCCAGGAGCACTGCCAGGAGTGTTCTCTGAGCACCAAGTCATGAATAAGCCTTGAATACAGCTGGATGCGGCCTCATGCCACTGCCCCCCTCCCCCCCGCAAAAAACCTGCCAGGTCAAATCTCCTTAGATGTGGAGGTTACATCTGGGCGTACCCTTCTCTACCTGGAAAAGCCAAGCCAAAGACTGCGAGGTCAAGTCAATTTTCCCGTAAGGTGCCACCCCTGCCCCTCTGGCCCTTCTCTTCTCCTTCCTTTAGGCTGTCACCTAGACAAAACTCCTGAGGGTGGCGACCGGCCATCAACATTTTCGGGGGAGCCTGAACAAAAACTCAAAAGGGCTCGGGGGTCTGCTTTGGAGGCAGGAGGCCCAGGCTCCATCTTCGGCGTCGCGCGATTCCTCCCAGGCACCAACGGGTGTGGCCCCCAAACAAATACTGTTGTGGCGTTTGTCCAGCAGCCAAAGACTGGGGGCGGGGACTTCCTCTCTGCGGCTGAAGCTGCCATCCAGGCCTGCCTCCTTGGGCTCTCCTTGGCAAACCCAACTGGCGGCCGCCGCTCACCCCTCCCCCGACACCGGGCCGGGCCACTGACCGCCCCCTCCTCGGGGGGCCTGCGCCCCAGCCTCCTCCTCCTCCGTCACCGCCCGGACACCTGCAGGCCCAGCTCCCCCCGCCCAGCCCCCATCACATAGGTTCCCCCGCCCCACCCCCCACTAATCAAGGCCCTGTCTCCCAACGGCTGGCACCACCACGCCCCCCGACCCGCGAAGGCGTCTCCAACGTCCTCCCCGGCCAACGCCTCGGGCTCGGGGCTCGGGCCCCCTCGCCCCGCCTCCGCCGCCCGAGACCCCCGCAGCGGACCCCTCGGCCGTCCGCCCGGGCCCTCACCGTAGATGCCACGTTCTCCGTCGGCCTCCACCGCTCCGAAGAGCAGCAGCGATGCCAGCAGGGCGAGGAGGGCCCGGCCGTGCGCCCCGAGCTGCGCCATGCCCGCTGCCGGCCCGCGGCCGTTGGGGTCTCGCGAGCAGGTGCGGGAAGACCCTCTCGGCGCACGCGCACTCGGGCGGGGGCCGGCCGCGCGCGCAGGTGCGGGCGCCCGCGCCGAAGCTTCGGGAAGGCCGCGCTCCGCGGCACCGTCGGGGCGGGGGTGGGAGGGGAGGCCGACGCCGCTTCCGAAGCCCGCGAGGCGGCGCGGCGCAGCCCACGGGCCCTCTCGACGCTCGGTGGGCGCTCGAGCCAATGGCGGCCGCCGGGAAGCCGCTCCCGGAGGTGGCTGGCCCGGGAGGGGGCGGGGCGCACCTGCGGGGCGGGGCGCAGGCGCAGAGCGGACACCTGCGCGCCCGGCCCCCGCCCTCCGCGCACCTGGGCCGGCCCGGGCCGCGGGCCGAGGGGCGGGGCTTACGCTGGCACCGCCCGGGGCCGGGGCCCCTCCCCCCTCCGCCGTCCGGGCGCCCTGGGGCTGAGCCGCGGGTGCAAAGTGAGGGCGCCGGTCCGCAAAGCCTGTGGCGTGCCCGTCCTCTCGCCGCCTCCTTTCTACCTTTGAGGATTTATTCCCCACTTAATTCGACCTTTGTGGAGTGTGCCTTGCTGGGAAGCCAGACGTGGCCTGCGGCAACAGACAGAAAGAGCCCCGAGGAAGCATGACTAAGCAGGCACAGGCTGGGTGAACAGGATGGGTGGTGGAAGACCATGATGGGGACTTCCCGGCTGTTCCCCCCCACACACACCCCACCCCCCACCCCCCCCAACTTTCAGCCCCGAGAGCATCCCGCCCCGGAGGGAGGGCTTCCTGGAGATGGTGATGGATGGGTTGGAACGAAGTCCCAGTCTCCTCTGATCCCGAGATGGAGACAAAGGCCTAACCGGAATAAACTCTGATGTATATGCACTAATCAGGCCTAAAAAGAGGAGAGCCAAGAGGAGGCTCCTGATCCCCGTTTGGAGACTTAGGAGGCCTTCCTGGGAGTGAGCCTAGTCTCAGAGGAGGATTGACGGCAGCCTGCATAGAGTAAGGGATAGCCAACTAGGGTAATTAGATGCATTGGTAAGATCCGGGCTGTGGCTCAGTGGCAAAGCATTTCTTTTCTTGAGTGTGAGGCCCTGGGTTTGATTCCCAAAGCCACGTGGTTCCCTGAGGAAGGCCAAGAGTATTCCCAAAACATCTAGTAGGGGGTATCCCTTAAGCACTGATGGGTGTGGCCCAGCAACCAAAGTAAATACATGAATAAAAGTAAGTTGTGGGGACCAGAGAGATCGTACAGTGGATAAGGCACTTGTCTTTGCACACAGCTGACCCAAGTTTAATTCCAGTCATTCCATATGGTTAAGCCCCCAGGGATGAAGTCCAAGTGTAACGCCAGGAATAATCCCGGAGCACTGCCAGGTGTGGCTCAAAAACAAACAAAAAAAAAGTTGGGCCTGAGCGATAGTACAGCCAGTAGGTTGTTTACCTTGCACATGTCTGACCCAGGTTAGATCCCTGGCATCCCATATGGTCCTCCATCCCTGTCAGGAATAATCCCTGAGTGCAGAACCAGGAAAGCCCTGGGCACCACCGAGTGTGGCAAAAAAAAAAAAAAGTGGATAATTCATTTTTGAAAATACCAAACAATGCTACAGGGAAATTACTTGGTAGCTAGGGTAGAAAATGACAGAAAATAGGGCTGGAGAAGAAAGTACAGCAGGTAAGGGGCATTTGCCTTGCACATGGCTGACCTGGGTTCAAACCCCGATACTCCATGGGTCCCCTGAACCCAGCAGGAGTGTCCCTGAGCACAGAGCCAGGAGTAAGTCCTGAGCATTGCCAGATGTGCCGCCCCACCCCTACCCCACCCCCCAAAAAAAAACCCAAAAAAGATGGGGCCAAAGTGATAGTTCTGCTGTTAAGGCATTTTTGCCTTGCTTATGGTTGACCCAGGTTCAATCCTGGCACTCCATATGACCCCTGAGCACCGAGCCAGGAATAAGCCCAGACAACTAGATAATAATGACAGAGGAGCGGTCAAGAGAAAGCACAAGAGAGAGTGATTGCTTTGCATTTGGCCAATCCTGATTCGATCCCTGGCACTGCATATGGCTGCCTGAGCACATTTGGGGTGGCTTAAGTACCCCCCAAATATTAAGAGACTAAGGTAAATGTAAAGGTAAAGGCCCTCCCGTTGATCATCGATTTGCTCGAGCGGGCCCAGTAACGTCTCCATTGGAGACTTTGTTGTTACTGTGTTTGGCATATCGAATACGTCCCGGGGAGCTTGCCAGGCTCTGCCCTGCAGGCGAGATACTCTCGGTAGCTTGCCGGGCTCTCCGAGAGGGGCGGAGGAATCGAACTCGGGTCGGCCATGTTGGCTGCGTGCAAGGCAAAGGTCCTACCGCTGTGCTATCGCTCTAGCCCATTAAGAGACTATTTGAGCTATTTGAGTTTCCAGGAGGAGCTCTGGTAGCTTCGATAATGAACTCTGCAGGCCTGATAGGTAGGGCAGGAGAAAGAGAATATAGTGGATAAGGCACTTGCCTTGTTCACAGTCAATCCTGGTTTGCTCCCTGGAACCATGCATGACCCCTGAGCTCTACCAGTAGTCAGGAATGATCCCTGAGCACAGCTAGGCGTGGCCCTAAAACCAAAAAACTGGAACCCGGGTCACTCCCAGATTCACTTGTCAGCTGTTCAGCCTCCTCATTTAACATGTGAGAAGCCTTAACTAGCTTATCAGAAGGGTGTTTACTTGAAACAATGCCGTTTGGTGTTTTTGTTGTTGTTATCCATTCTGAATCTTGCAGTGAGGTCCTGGAGCTCAAGAATCTAAGTGGGAGGCCAAAGGTTTCTCCCAGTACCTGAATTTCCTACCCCACTAACTTGGCTTGAGCAAAGAGAGGTGGGTCCCTGAGATAGAACAAAGGCCGAGTGCCCAAGCTTTGATGCAGAGGCCTAGATTTATCTACCCATCTACACACAGTCCCTCCAGGAGCGAGCCCTGAGCAACATGCGCTGAGTAGTCCCTGAACAGTGCTGGCTATAACCACACCCCCCACAAGGAAGTGGTGAAAGGTAAGACGAGCCTAGAGGCACAAGCTATCATTTACTCATTCATTCATTCAGGACATTCACTGAGCACATGCTATGTACCAGGTACTGCTGGAATCACTGGAGTGAACACAAAGTCCTGCCCTGTTGGAATCCACTTACTAGTGCTGAGAATGGAGGTGGAACTAGCATTGTTAACATTTGGAATGGATTTTGTCTTTTGGGGGGGCAGGGAGGGCCACACCTGTCGATGCTCAGGGGTTACTCCTGGCTCTGCACTCAGGAATTACTCCTGGTAGTGCTCGCGGGACCATAAGGGATGCCACAGATTGAACCTGGGTCAGTCACATGCAGGGCAAGCAGCCCCATGAAACGGATCTTTTCTTATACCACGTCTTCTCTACCAGAAAAAAATATCTCTTCCTAGTCACACAGGAATCAGTATTTTATTTGTTCTTCCACTTTTAATTTAACAATTGTCAGTGAATCAATTTCCATTTTAAGCATATCATTCAAGTATTTTAGACATGAATGAATATTTGCACTTATCAAATTAAATATTATCCTAACACATCACACGCTGACTCATTGTTTTATATTGTTAAAAAAAACTCCAGTAGAATAAGTTGGCAGTTTATACATCCTCACAATCACCGTGCTATCATTTACATCCCTAATTCGTTACTTAAATGTAGTAATATGTAGACTCACATATTATACCATACAATTTACATATTGCAACCTCAAAATTGTGCCTTCTACAAGTCAGACGAGTCCTGGTGGTGTGCAGAGGAATCAAACCCAGGTCACTGCATGCAAGGCCTACCCTCTGTACTATCTCCACATCCCTTAGTACATACTTTATTATTTTTTTAAATATACTTGAAAATTTTAAAAATTAAAATTTTTTTTATAATGTAGGAGCACTGCTATTTATTCAGCCACTGATTAAGCTGATTGAACTGGGCATGAACTCCACACCTAGCACATACTTTAAATACAGGAATTCCATGTTTGATTCCTGGCAACACACGGTCCTGGAGCCCTGCTGGGAGTAATCCCTGAGCACCTCACAGTGTGGCCCAGAAACAAAAATTAAGTTCTCTACAGATAGTGCGTCCCCTTTTACTTGTACATGAGGAGAGCCATTCTTGTTGCCCTCCCATTGGCACCCACAAGTAGGAAATAACAGATAAAATTAGGGGCTGGGAAGATGACTCAGAGAACTGGAGCATGCATTTTACATGTGGGAGGTTCATTCACAGCATCAAATGGCCCCCTAGAGCACTGGGCACAACTCCAGAGGACTTCTGGGTGTTCCCCACACCAAAATAAATAAATAAATAAACATTTGGAGTGACAGTATAGTGGGCAGGGCATTAGCTGTGCACACAGCTGACCAAGTTTGATCTCCCGCACTGCATAGGGTCCCCTGAGCCCTCCAGGAGTGATCTCTGAGCACAGAGCCGGGGTAAGCCCTGAGCACTGCTGGATGTGGCCCAAATAGCAAAAGGAACAAAAAAGTCAAGGGAGGCACTTCACACATGACCTTTGAGAGGGATGAAGGAGCGAACTTTGTTGGTGCCCTTCGGGGGCTCCTGAAAGTTAGCTGTGAGACTAAACCCTGGTGTGAGGAAACGCCAGCTTGAGAGGCCCAGTTGTGAGCTGTGCGGCCAAGTCCCCGGATGTGAGCGTCATGGCTAACCTCAGCAGTTTGGCTGTGAGCCTCACCACAGTGGGAGCTACGGACATTTCCTCCTTCCCTTCCCTTTGTTGTAGTGGCGGTTGGTGTGTCGGGGGGTCAGTCTGTGCCAGAGGTAGCCCTTGTGATGCTGGGAATGGAACGCGAGGCCTCAGGTGGATGCACAGCACCTCCACGGAGCCATAGCCCCGGGCCCTAGTTTGGTATGAATAAAAGTTTTATTGAACTATAACTCACATACCATACAATTCACCCTTTCAAAGTATATGATTCACTTCAGCTGTCTGAGGAACTGAGTTCCATCCTTGGCACCAAAAGAGAGAGAGAGAGAGAGAGAGAGAGAGAGAGAGAGAGAGAGAGAGTGATGAATAGGGGGCCAGAGCCATAGAACAGTGAAACAGCGAACAGGGCACTTGTCTTGCGCGCAGCTGAGCTGGGTTCAATTCCTGGCACCACACATGATCCCCTAAGCACAGCCAGGAGTCATCTCTGACCACGCAGAGCCAGGACTAAGCCCTGAGCACTGCCAGGAGCAACCCATAACCAAACAAAAATAGCAAAAATAAAATCAATGGGGCCTGGAGAGATAGCACAGTGGATAGGGCATTTGCCTTGCATGGGGCTGACCAGGGTTCGATTCCCAGCATCCCATATGGTCCCCTGAGCACAGCCAGGAGTAATTCCTGAGTGCCACTGGGTGTGACCCAAAAAGAAAAAAAAAAGCAATAAATCCACACCCTAGATGCTCAGGGGCTACTCCGAGGTCTCTCTGGGACGGTACCAGAGATGGAACCTGGACTTCCTACACGTAAAGTGTGTGTTCCCACTGAGTTATCTCCTCGCAGATAAGATATTGGATGTTTGTGGGAGCTGGTGGGGAGGCGGGGAGTCTGGTCACAGGGCCCAGAGTTGCTCCCAGGCCCTCACAGTGAGCGCATCCCTGACTCACTCAACATGCTTTCAAGGTTCATCCATGTTGGGGTATGTATCAACACTTACCTTTCTTTTTCCAGGGGCTGGAGCGATAGCACAGTGGGTAGAGCATTTGCCTTGCATGCGGCCGACCCGGGTTCAATTCCCAGCTTCCCATATGGTCCCCTGTGCATTTCCAGGTGTGACCCAAAAAGCTAAATAAAAAAAAAAGTTTCTTTTCCCAGATGGTGGCCACATCCACCAATGGTCAGGGGATTTTCCTGGCTCTGTGTTCAGGAAACATATGAGGCTGTGCTCAGGGTACCATATGAAGTGACTGGATTTGAATCTTTGTCATCGCCACAACTAGATGCAAATATGAATGCAGGGGGCTGGAGCAATTGTACTGCACGTAGGGTCATTTCCTTGCATGCAGTGGATCCAGATTCAAACCCCAGACTGAATCTGCATTCAACTCTGTATGGTCCCCCAAGCCCAACCAGGAATAATCCCTGAGCACAGGATCAGGAGTAAGCCCTGAACACAGCTGAGTGTGGTCCTAAATGAAATAGGAAACAAATTAAAAGAATCCCAGGGTCTACCACATGCAAGGCAAGTAAGTGCCTTAACCCTGTACTATCTTACTGGAATCATAATTTATTTTGACTAGCAGATAATATTCCATTGTGTCATGGACCACGTTTTGTTCATCCATCACTGTTTCACCTTCAGCTGTTGTGAGCAGAGCTGCTATGCACATTCACACACACATTTTTGTGAGACTCTTTGTTTTCAATTCTCTTCGGAGTGGAATGATAGGATCATGTGGAATTGCTAAGTTTAACCTTCTGAAGGACTACCAGACTCTTCTCCAGTGTGACTGCAACATTTCACATTCTCATTGTCAACCTTGACATGTTCTAACTTCTTTCCTTTCCTTTTTTTTTATTTTTACTCACCCAGCTGTGCCCAGGTGCTGCTCCCATCTCTGTCACTTCTGGAGGCCAAGCACTACAGGGGGTTGAATCTGCGCCTCCTGCATGCAAAGCATGTGCTCAGCCCACTGAGGTATTTCTTCAACCCCACATGTTCTGATTTCTTCACATTAAAAACAATTACAGGAGGGGCTGGAGCGATAGCACAGCGGGTAGGGCGTTTGCCTTGCACGTGGCCGACCTGAGTTGATTCCCAGCATCCCATATGGCCCCCTGAGCACCGCCAGGAGTAATTTCTGAGTGCAGAGCCAGGAATAACCCCTGTGCATTGCCAGGTGTGACCCAAAAAGAAAAAAAAAATTACAGGAGCTGGAGTGATAGTACAGCAGGGATTAGAGTGCTGCCAACCTGGGTTCAATCCCCAGCACCCCATATAGTCCCCCAAGCATCGCCAGGAGTAATTACTGAGTGTAATGAGTGTAGAGCCAGTAGTAACCCCTGCGCATCGTCAGGTGTGACCCCCCCAAAAAAATACTAATTACATCATTGGGCTTGAATGAATGAAACTTGGTTATTGACAGTTTTGTAACTCATGGTAAGACGGTCAATCAAAATTAGTAATTTTCCCGGGGACCACACTCAGCTAGGATTGGGGGGCCACCAGGGCCACACTGCAGAAATTTAGTGTCAAAAAATCAAACTGAGGACCTCGTACATGCAAGGCAGTGCTCCTAGAGCCATATCAACACACAGAATACAGATTTTTTTTTCTTTTTGGGTTACACCCAGCGATGCTCAGGGGTTACTCCTGGCTCTGCACTCAGGAATTACTCCTGGCAGTGCTCAGGGGACCATATGGGATGCTGGGGATCAAACTCAGATCAGCGACATGAAGGCAATTGCCCTACCCGCTGTACTATGGCAATGGCCCAGAACACAGAATTTTGCCATCACAGAATATTCCATTAAAAACGCAGTTGGGGGGCTGAAGTGACAGCACAGCAGGTAGGACGTTTGCTTTGCATGCAGTTGACCAGGGTTCGATTCCCAGCATCCTATATGGTTCCCTGAGCATCGCCAGGAGTAATTCCTGAGTGCAGAGCCAGAAGTAACCCCTGTGCATCGCCAGGTGTGACCCAAAAAGCAATAAATAAATAAATAAATAAATAACTGGGCTGGAATGATAGTATAGGAACTTGCTTGGCACGCAGCCGACCTGGGTTCAATCCTCAGCACCACAAATGATCCCCCAATCCCTGCTAGGAATGGTCCCCTTGAGCCAGAAGTAAGCTCTGAGTACTGCTGGTGTGACCCCCAAACAAAAACAAAATAACAAATTCTAAGCACTAAGTTGGAAGTAGTCCTTGAGCAATTTTGGGCATAGCCACAAAATCCAAACGATACAAATTATTTTATTTTTATTTGTTTGGTTTTGGGTCACACATGGCAATGCTCAGGACTTGCTCTTGGTTCTGTACTCAGGAATCACTTCTGGTGGGTCTCAGGAACCCTCTGGGATATGGGTAATTGAACCTGGGTCAGCCACAGCAAGAGCCCTGCCCACTATACTGTCTCTCTGAATCCCCCGACATTTAAATCCAAGCATCTTAGCAGATATCTGATTTGTACTCCCCGCCCCCATTCTGTGGTTGGGTCTCTTCACTTTCCTGTTGATGTTTGGGGCCAGAGTGATAGTACAGTGGGTAGGGCGTTTGTCTTGCACATACATGGCCCACCCGAGTTCAATCCCCAGCATCCCATATGGTCCCCTGAGCACCACCATGAGTAATTTCTGAGTGCAGAGCCAGGAATAACCGTGAGCATCGCCTGATGTGACCCACAAAGTCAAACACAAAAACACATATGTTTTCAGATATGCTGAAATGTATTTTTCTTTTGCTTCATGGGATCATAGCTCAGAAGCCAGGGTCTCAGTGTGGGTACGGGGCTTCAAGTTTTCAAGTATCAGTCTCGATTATAATTAGGAGTACTTCACTTTGTGGCCACCTTCCCTTTAAAGGAAACGACATCATTGTTACATTTCTCCTTTTGGCTTCTTCTTAAGAAGTTCTGCCAATGGTTGGAACTAACCACAAGTGTGTGTGTGTGTGTGTGTGTGTGTGTGTGTGCGGGGGTGTGGGGGGGACTGAGGGCAGGTAAGATAGAGAAGAGACCAGTATGACAGTAATAGCTGGACAAAATCTGAGGGTTGAAAGTAGGCAAAGGAATGTTCTTGATAACCTTTCAGTATCAATATTGCAAATCACAATGCCCAAAAGAAGAGACAGAGACAGAGACAGAGACAGAGAGAGAGCGCCTGCCACAGAGGCAGGTGAGGGGGTGGGGGGGCAGGGGGAGTGAGGGGTATGGAAGGGAACCTGGGACACTGGTGCTGGGAAATGTAACTGGTGGAGGGATAGGTGTTGGAACACTGTGTGACTAAAACACGTACATAGCTTTGTAAGGGTCTATCTCACAGCGATTTAATTAAAAAGTTAAAAAACAAAGTTCTGCCTTTGTCCTAGTCTTGTATTCATTAGGCTCCCCCCCACCCCAGTGGCTGGTCTAGAACAGCGTTCGGCCGATATCTGTTGAACAAGGCGAGTGAATCAATGAACGCCTTTGGATGCACGGACGTGAATCAAGGAAGGAACAAATACATGATGCAGCAGGACACCACCGAGGCGGCCCGGGGGGCTCCTGTACCGCCCTTTGCCACCGCCAGAGGGCGCCCAACCCCCGGTCCGGGAGTCCGTCCCGGGACCCCGCCCCCAACGATCTAGCCCGGGTGGCCCCCAGGCTGGGCTCCGGGACCCGATCTGGGGCTCCCGGACGACGTCGAGCCCTGAGCCGCGCCCGGCGGCGGGAAGAGCAGAGCAGCGGCGCCCGCGTCCCTGAGCGGCCGGTGGGGGAAACTGAGTCCGGGCCGCGCGCGGGGCGTGCCCGCCGCCGGCCTCGCCCCCGGCCCCGCCCCGCCCCGCCCCGCCCCGTAAGAGGCTCGGGGGCCGCGGGGCGGCGGCCAGAGCGCGGCGCGGTGCCCCGGCGGCGATGGCAGCTCAGCGGCTGGGCAAGCGCGTGCTGAGCAAGCTGCAGTCCCCGTCGCGGGCCCGCGGGCCCGGGGGCAGCCCCGGGGGGCTGCAGAAGCGACACGCGCGTGTCACCGTCAAGTACGACCGGCGCGAGCTGCAGCGACGGTTGGACGTGGAGAAGTGGATCGACGGGTGCTTGGAGGAGCTGTACCGCGGCAGGGTGAGGCGGGGAGGGACCTGGGCGGGACCCCCCAGACGCCGCCGCCGCGGGGGGCGCTGCCCGCCGCGTCCGCCCGCCGCTGCCCCACGTCGGGGACTGGGACGCCGGTCGGGTGCCCCCGTGTCGTCCTGCGTGGAGACGCGCACGCCCGGCTCTCCGAGGATGTGGCCGAACATCAGCGGAGGGCCAGCGGTCTGGCAGGGGGCGACCAGGAGGCACAGTTGGGGCGGCGGGGTGGCCGGAATCGGAGGAAGGGTGGGGGCAGAGGGAGGTCCCGGTGAGCCACGCGGAGACAGACCCCCACCCCCAGAAGGGACGGAGCGCACAGGCGCGCACAGCCCCTCGCAGGCAGGAGCCTGGCCAGGGACACAGGCTATGACTGAGGACAGACGCTGTGATCCCCGCGAGACCAACATAGGTTCCGGCCCCTGATGCGCTCCCGCGGGGCTGCTCAGGCCACAGCCAGGCCCCGGCCCACCAGGGCCGCACCCACACACCGGGGCTGTGCCCTGAGCAGCTCCTGCTGCCTTTAGGACATGGTTTGGGGCACCCCCTCTCTACCCCACTCCTCCAGGGAGCTCTCCAGGCAGACCACCGCCCCTCTGGCTGGAGGCTGCAGCCCCCTAATCTTCAAACAACCCTCTTGGAGCTCCACCCAACAGGAAACAGGGAGGCTGGGGGCCAGGGAGATGGCCCCTCAGAGCTCTATCCCCAGCACCCCAGAGGGTCACCAAGCATCACCAGGAGTGACCCCTGAGCACAGAGAAGTAAGCCCTGAACATCACTGGGTATGCCCCCCAAACCAAACCCCCTCCAAAAATAAAAGAAAACCGGGGCTGGAACTATAGTACAGTGGGCAGGGCGTTTGCCTTGCAGGCGGCCAACCCGGGTTCAATCCCCAGCATCCCATATGGTCCTCCGAGCATGGCCAGGAGTAATTCCTGAATGCAGAGCCAGAAGTAACTTTGAGCACAACCGGGTGTGACCCAAAAAGCAAAAATAATAATATAGCACAGCGATAGGGTGTTTGCCTTGCGCGCAGCTGACCTGACTGACCTGGGTTCAATTCCTCCACTCCTCTCCGAGAGCCTGGCAAGCTACCAGGAGTATCTTGCCCGCACGGCAAAGCCTGGCAAGCTACCCATGACATATTCGATATGCCAAACACAGTAACAACAAGTCTCACAATGGAGACGTTACTGGGCCCACCCGAGCAAATCGATGAACAATGGGAGTCCAGTGACAGTGACTAATAATAATAATGATAATAATAATAAATAAAAGAAAACACATAAACAACAGGGACTTATGGACCTGTTTGGCTCGTTTTTGTTTGGGATGCGGGAGACGATACCTGGCAAGGTTCAAGAGAGGCAGCTACTCCCAACACAGTGTTCCCAGGTGAACCCTGTGGTGCCAGGGCTCGAACCCAGGGGTTGTGCCTGCAGAGCCTATGCCTAACTCTCTGGGCCGTCTATACGAACAGGGCTCCCAAAGGCTTAACCGATAGCTCCAAACAGGCTTTTCATTGAGCCTCTGCTTTGGCAGTCACACTTAATTGCCTTTTTTTTTTTTAGGAGGGGGGGCCACATCCGGCAGTGCTCAGGGCTTACTCCTGGCTCTGTACTCAGGGATCACGCCTGGCAGCACTCTGGGGACTATAGGCATGTCCAAGGTCAAACTAGAGTCAGCCGCACGCAAGGCAAGCACCCTACCCACTGTGCTATCCCTTGGGCCCCTCAGTCACACTTGGTACCAAACACGCATGCATATGCATGCTGCCAAGCTCAACCTCAGGGGTCTGTGGGCAGAATAGCCCTGGGCCTCTGAACTGGCGAAGGCCCCTCTGCACCCAGCCAAGGCCTGAACAGCATCACCCCCCTGAGGCGGCTCTGCAGGACATGCCTGGGGACTAGATTCTTTGATCAGACCAGCCCGCCGACTCTGTGGCGTCACACAGGACAGGGAAGACAGATGGACCCAAGCTGAGCCATGCAGCCTCTCCAGGAGGGGCCCTGCCCCCAGGAGGCCGCCCAGACAAGGCTCCCTCTCCCAGCCCGGGCCCGGAGGGGAGGGTGTGGGGCTCTGCAGCCAGGGTTGGGCAGGGTCCCCCGGCCCAGACAGCTGGGCTCTGTCCCCAGCAGGGTCGCTGAGCCTGCCACCTTTGACCCTCTGCCCCAAGGGGCTGTACTCGAATCCCCACCCGGGGGCAGCTGAAAGTCGGATTGACGGCTCACTACACTCTCCCCTGCCCAGGGAGTGATGCTTGGTGGTCTCCTTCAGGGAGCCATCCAGTTGCACTTTAACCCCGGGTCCCCACCGCCTGGCCTGGCCAGAGCCCTGCTCTGTTCCCTGGGGCCAGCGCTGTCCCTCTGCCCTGCCGCTGCCCTCCCCAACCTAGAGCCCAGACTTTGCCTTGAAAGGACAGAGCCGGCCTCTCTCCTAATCCCAGAATTGGACATTCCAGCCCCGGCGAGGCCTCTTTCCCACTGTGGGAACCAGGGCCAAGGGGGAGCCCCGTGCCAGCCCGCGGCTCCTGACAGACCCAGGGTTCAGGCACTGGGGCTGGCCGCGGGGCCCCGGGCTCTGTCGACCCATCTGCCACCCCTCCCCCAGCACCCAGATGTCCTGTCTCCACGGTGCTGTCCCTGACTGCCACATTATTGCTGCCAGCTGGCCCTGGGACCTCGGACAAAGGCGAGGAGGGCGGGGAAGGGCAGTGACTCCCCCTGTCCCCCCTCAGGAGGCCGACATGCCGGATGAGGTCAACATCGATGACTTGTTGGAATTGGAGAGTGACGAGGAGAGGGGACAGAAAATCCAGGTAGTGGCGGGAAGGCCCAGCCCCACTGCACCCCTCGCGAGACTCCCCCAAACTCCCAGCCAGGCTGGCGGCCTCCCGCTCCCAAAATCAACTGCTGCTCCCCAAATCCTCAGAGCTTGGGCTGCTGCTCCCCGAGCCTTTGCTCCCCCCTGCTGGGGTCACAGGGTCCCAGCCTGTCTCGCTCTTTGTTGTTGGTTGTGTTATTTGGGGGCCGGGCCCAGCAGTCCCCAGGGCTGACTCCTGGCTCTGTGCTCAGGGATCACTCCTGGCGGTGCTCAGGGGGTCCTGTGGGGTGCTGGGATGGAATCTGGGCTGGTTGCGTGCAAGGCCGGTGCCCTCCCCGCTGTGCTGTGGCTCCAGCCCCCTCTCCTGCCATCCTGCTCATGGAACGGACATGCCCCCCCCCCTGTGTCCCCAGAGTCTGTGTTCCCTGCATGCACCCCACCCCTGAGGGAGTGTCAGGCACTGACTCTTTGTTTCTCTTTTGTGGGGTGCGTCTAGGGTCTCCTGACATCCTGCACCAGCCCCACAGAGGTAAGTCCTGCACGACCTTCTCCCCCCAGCCCCCCTGTCCTGTCCCCTGTGCCGCCCCCACCTTAGGGGATCTCTGCGGAAGCTTCTGTCTCTTGCTGTCCCTTCCTGCTCCCTGCTGTCCTTTGTCCCCACCCCCTTACTCCCCATCTGCCACCAGGCTCCTCTGTCTTAGGGGCACCCCCATCTGTCTCTTATCTGCCCCTCTGCCCGGGGCGGCCCGTGTGTGTGGGCTCAGCCGCCCTCCGTGGGTCCCAGTGAGTGTCCACCCGGCCTCCTCCGGGGCCCCTGATCTCCTGGGCCCTGGAGCTGACCGCCCAGCCCCTCCCACTTCCTTCCCTGCTTTAAAAGGGAAAAATATTCATGTTTCTCTGAGCGGCTCCGAGCTGCCTGAGGGACAAACGTCACGAAGGCTGTCTGCTGGGGCCACTGCGGCCGTGTCCCCAGGGACACCCTGGCTATCTCCTGCTGGACCCTCGGCTCCTTGCTTTGCGCTCTCCCCCTGCCCACACACACACCCGCACCCCCTCCTCCCCGCAGGACTTCATCCGGGAGCTGTTGGTGAAGCTTCGAGACCTGCACAAGCAGCCCGGCCTCCCGCGGCGCAGCCCCTCATCTGAGGGCAGCCGGCGCCCCACTCCAGGCCCCAGCCCCGGCCCCAGCCCAGGCCCCGGCCCTGGACCCGACCGGCCCTCGCCTCTGTGACCCCCCCCGCCCGCCCGTTGTAAAGTCGTATTTAATGGATCCGTACAATAACACCACGCGCTGTGGCTGTTTTTCCTCTTCGTTCCTGCGGGCTGCCGGCCCTCCCCACCCCCACCGGCCCCCACAGCTGGCGGGACAGATGGACGCCACGCCCCCTGCCCTCCCTCGGCCAGGCCCTGTGACCTCCAGCCCTGGAGTCACATCCTGCCCAGCCCCTACCCAGCCTCCCCTGCAAGGGCTCTGTGCCGGCGGGCGGGGCAGGGGCTGGCAAACATCCTGCCCCCTGCATGGAGATCACCCTGATGGGGAGAAAAGGCTTGTAGCCCTGAAGGGGGTTTAAAGCACATGTGCTGGATGGGCCTAGAAGCCTCGGAGCCCAGGGAAGGGAAGGAGTCATCTCTCTCCCAGGTGCTGAAAGAATCCAGGAGGGCTTCCTGTAGGAAGTGCCAGGGACACTTGTCTATGAGATGTCTCTGAGGACTTTGAACTCATGCGTGGGCTGAGAAATTGATTTTGGGGCTGGTTCAAGGTGGACACCAAATATTGGCAGGCCGTATTAGGGGAAGCTCCTGCTGCACCTGATTAGCCTTTTACCTGGTGGGAGGCTGCAGGGAGAGGCTCAGAAGGCCTCAGAGGTGAGTAGTGGCCACCTCACCTGTGGAGTCGTCCCACACATTCACAGCAGGGTGGTGGGGCTCAGGGGACAGCTGTGCTGGGCTCAGCACTGGGGCAGGCCCAGAGGCGGGGGTGTCTACCCCAGGAAAGAGCCCATCTCCCGTCTGCTGACTGATGTTAGGGCCTTGGTCCCCACTCCACCCCAAGGGTCTGGGCTCTAGCCTGGACAGGGAGAGCCTGTGGGGGGCTCTGGGCCTGTGCAGAGAGGAGGCCCTTGGGTGTTGTGCAGAGAGACTCCCAAGGCTTCCGGGGGCCCCTCCCGAGGATGAGGGGAGGGGGGCTTCCTCCTGGTCTGTCCCCTGTCCCTCCCCCCCGTACCCTGTTAGGCCTAGGAACTTGCTTTTGACCTCTGGGATGACGCACAAGGATGCACACGGGCCACGGGCACTTCCTTGGCCCCTAAATTGCCCTCCTCATCCGCTGGGGCATGTTTCAGTGCCGGGCCTTGGACCACGGGCTCAGCCATCCCTGGCTGGTGCTCTACTGCACAGCCACAGCCCTGGCTCCGCCTACGAACTTTTTCTGAGGCTTTGGTCAACACCAGCGTTACTCGGGGCTTTATGCTGGCTCTGTGCTCAGGGATCCCTCCTGGTAGGGACCATAATAGGTGCTGGGACTTGGACAAGCAAGCGACTCTCCCTGCTACACAGCCGTTCCTGTGCGCTGCCGTTTCTCCAGCCCCCTTCGAGGGACTCTTGACTTCCTCTCCATGATGCTGGTTTTGGTTCCTCATCCTGGAGGGGGGCAATTAGTGCAGGTTCTGAGGTCCTGGGCCACCACGTGCGAGTCTCAGTTTCCTCACCTGGATCATGGGGTCCAGGTTGGCCATGCCTGGGTGTCACAGTGGGGAATGGAGCTGGGGTTCACATCGAGATTTTGCTGTTCCGGAGATTCCTTCTGCCTAAGCCATGACTCAAAATGGCAATAAAACTTTTTAAAAAATTGTTTTTTAAGTTTTGGTTTGGGGACAGCACCCGACCGGTGCTCAGGGGTTACTCCTGGCTTGGCACTCAGGGATCAATCCTGGTGAGGCTCAGGGGACCATATGGGGTATCAGGGATTGAACCCAGGTCACGTATGCACAAGGCAAGTGCTGTCCCCGACTGTACTATCTCTCTAGGCTCCCCTGCTTTTTTTTTTCCCCGCTTTTTGGGTTACACCCAGCAATGCTCAGGGGTTAGTACTGGTTCTGCACTCAGAAATTACTCCTGGCACTGCTCAGGGGACCATATCATGTGGGATGCTGGGGATTGAACCTGGGTTGGCTGTGTGTGTGGAAGGCAAAGGCTCTTCCCAGTGGGCCATTGTTCCAGCCCCGCTTTCACTTTTTTTCCTTTTTTTTTTTCACCTCTTTTCTCTTTGTTCTTGTCTTTGTTACAACTTGGGGTGGAGGTGATTTGATCTCAGTGCTATAATTCATGTTTCTGTTTGTTTTGGGGCCACACCCAGTGATGCTGAAGGCTTATTCCTGGCTCTGCATTCAGGAATTATTCCTGGTGATGCTCAGGGGACCATATGGGATGCCAGGGATTGAAGCTGGGTTGCCATGTGCAAGGTAAATGCCCTACCCGCTATGCTATCGCTCCAGCCCTGCAATTTTTGTTAATTAAGCCATATTAAAGTGTGAGCCACTGGTGGAACAGGCTGATGTCAACATATTGGCACACGGGCTGTGCTGGCATCATGCACGTTGGCACAGAGGTCCTTGTGGCAGTGCCTCTGGAATCAGACTTGCTGATGTGAACGGTGGTGGGGATTAAACTCTGCCTCAGCTATGGGGCAGACCCGCCCCTAGGTCCCCAAGACAGCAGCACCTAACTGAGAACAAGACTATAGCAAAAGAATTGGGAAATATGGGCCAGAGAGACCCTACAGCGGGTAATGCACTTGCATGAGGCCAACCCCAGTTTCATTCTTAAAACCACACAGTCCCCTAAGCACAGAGCCAGAAGTAAGTCCCAAGTGCAGCCAGGTTACACGAAAAACAAACAGGAACAAGAATTAGGAAGGAGGGGCTGGAGTGATAGCACTGTGGGTAGAGCATTTGCCTTGCACACAGCCGACCCGGGTTCGATTCGCAGCATCCCATATGGTTCCCTAAGCACCGCCAGGAGTAATTCCTGAGTGCAGAGCCAGGAGTAATCCCTGTGCATTGCCAAGTGTGATCCAAAAAAGCACACACACACACACACACAAAGAATTGGGAAGGAGCAGTGTGCAATTGGGGTTCAAAATGAGGGATAGTCTGGACTTGGGGTTGCTGCTTGTATTCAGGTCCATTTGCCTCATAACCCTTGGGCCTCTGTTTCCACATCTGTCTGTGAAGATGATTACCGAACCTTCCACAGGGTGAAGTAGACATACATAGGTCACCGGTCAGGCCCAGTAATTACTGCCACAGGGGCCAAACTTTCTGCTCCCTCACTTCCCATCTGCCAGCGGGTCAGCAAGCGGTCTCTGCAGCACTGCCCTGCGTCCCCGGTGTCTACATCCCATCGACCAAGGACCTCACTTTCATCACCCAATCCCTCTCCTCTTTGTTCTGAACATGTGTGTATGTGCGTGTGTGCATGTGTGAGTGTGGTGCCACGATCAAACCCAGGGTCTCACACAGGCAAGTGCTCTGCCACTATATCCTGGGACAAAGTTTGTCTTAAAAAACAAACCAGGTGGGGCTGGAGTGATAGCATAGCGGGTAGGGCATTTGCCTTGCATGTGGCCAACCTGGGTTCAATTCCCAGCATCCCATAGGGTCCCCTGAGCACTGCCAGGAGTAATTCCTGAGTGCATGAGCCAGGAGTAACTCCTGTGCAATGCCGGCTGTGACCCAAAAAGAAAAAAAAAAAACAACCAGGGGACAGAGAGATAGTATGGTGGGGTAGGGTGCTTGCCTTGCACGTGGCAGGCCGAGGTTCGATTCCCACTACTACATGTGGTTCCCCAAGCACTGCCAGGAGCACCAGAGCCAGGAGAAAGTATCCTGAGCATGGCCCGCTGTGCCCCCACTTCAATAAAACAAAACAAAAAGAAAGTTATTGGCATTGTTTCAGAATTTATGCAAAACCATGCATGTACGCGTGCGCATGCGCGCTCTCTCTCTCATACACACACACACACACGCATGCACGCACGCACGCACGCATGCACGCACGCACACACACAGAATATGAGTGAATAGTCTCCCTGCTTTATCCACAAGGCAGACGCTGGGAGCATGACCCCAACCTTGCTTGACTCATTCGTACAGCTGTTCCATTTCTGTGGGTTTTTTGTTTTGTTTTGCTTTTTAGGTATATATATATATATTTTGGCTTGGGAGCCACACCCAGCGTTCTTTAGGGGCTACACCCAGTTCCATCTGGGGATTGTTCCTGATGGTGCTGGGGTACCAGGGATGGAATCAGCCCTCCTGCGTGCAAAGCTGTGCCCGGGCCCGCTGACCTCTCTCCACATTGCAGGTCTCCCATTTCCAGGGAAAGTTTTCTTGGCCTTAGGACAACAGCCTCCTGTAGACAGGCCAGCCTCTGCTCTCACCTCTTTCCTCTGTCCTTCACCCCACCCCCACCTCCCGCTCTAGACCCACACCGAGGGCCCCTCGATCCAGAACCCACCTCCCACCACGATGCCATCTCGTGGATGGAATCCCAGGAACGCCTTATCTTGGGAGCCACACCTCGTCACTCCTGTCCTCTGCTCTGTTTTCTCTGGAGAACCTATTACGACCTGGTCCCAGTTGGTGGACGTGCTGTGAGCCCCTGGGTTCTACATCCACACCCACGGGCATGCATTCATAGGAATTTACTACATCCTGAAATGTTTCATTCGACTGTTTGCTTATGTCTCCCACCCCCACCTGCAGACTGCAGAGCTCCGCCTGGCCTTGAGCACGGCTGCATAACTTACCCCGGACAGCTCGGGCAGGATTATAGTGCTCCCTGTTGGCCACTTTCCTCCCCGGGCCTGGCAACCCACTCGTGCTGGGAGTGAGGCTTCAGCGCCCCCTCGTGGCTGAGGGAATACACCCCAGAATGCTGTCTCCGTAGGGGAGTCTGGAGCTGAGCTGGCTTAAAAGACTGATGACATCAAAGGTAGCTCCTACACACATGCACGCGCGCGCACACACACGCACGCACACACACGCATACATGCACACACACATGGCAGGGGGAGGGAGAGAGAGAAGAGGGCTGGAGAGGAGTAAAGCAGGCATTGGTGCTTGCTGCCAAGATGGATTTGATTCCCAGCCTACCATAAGGTCCCCTGAGCACCACTAGGAGTAGGAATAAGAGAAACCCCTGAGCATCTCCGGGTGTGGCCCCCAAACA